ACCTGTTTTTTTAGTAGCGGCGAGTTGAGGTGTTGGTCCGCGGCGGGCAGCCTAGGAGTGAACAGTGTAGTTTCTGGTGATACTTTCAGCGGTGTATTAGGCTGAGGCGAGAGAACAGTGGGTAGGAGAGATTTGTTTTTTGATTACATTTTTAAACTTATACAGTTTTTATTACCTCTTCCTGCTCTCCTCCTCACTCTCACTCCCCTGTACTTCTCCTCCTTCCTCTCCCTCGCACTCCTGTCCCCCCGTATCTTTTCTTCTCCTGCACTCCATGCTGTCTACACCCAGTCGCAGCTACCTGTGTGCGATGCGTGTGTGCACGCACGCGACGAGCGCCTGCATCACACCCATCATCGTCACAAGCTGGTCCTCGCTCCCGTACCTACAGAGAGAGAGCGAGAGAGAGAGAGAGGTGAGACGTAGGAGAGAGGACAGGAACACCCAGCGGCGCAGGCCGGCTACGATGCAGCGGATGCTGTCGCGCGCGTCCTGCACGCACGCGACGAGCGCCTGCATCACACCCATCATCGTCACGAGCTGGTCCTCACTCCCGTACCTACAGAGAGAGAGAGAGAGAGAGGTGAGACGTAGGAGAGAGGACAGGAACACCCAGCGGCGCAGGCCGGCTACGATGCAGCGGATGCTGTCGCGCGCGTCCTGCACGCACGCGACGAGCGCCTGCATCACACCCATCATCGTCACGAGCTGGTCCTCGCTCCCGTACCTACAGAGAGAGAGAGAGAGAGGTGAGACGTAGGAGAGAGGACAGGAACACCCAGCGGCGCGCGCCGGCTACGATGCAGCGGATGCTGTCGCGCGCGTCCTGCACGCACGCGACGAGCGCCTGCATCACACCCATCATCGTCACGAGCTGGTCCTCGCTCCCGTACCTACACCCCCACCCCGCGCACGCATGCGCTAGAGAGAGAGAGAGAGAGAGATAGAGGAAAGTGAGAGAGAAAAGAGAGAGACACATGAGACGTAGGAGGCGCGATGACTGAGACATGGGGGTGAGACGATCGATTCAATGTGGTGAGACTACTACTGCTGCTGCTGCTGCTGCTGCTGCTACTGCTGCTGCTGCTGCTGCTACTGATGCTGGTGCTGCTGCTGTTACTGCTGCTATACTGCTGCTGCTGCTGCTACTACTACTACTGCTACTGCTACGGAGTACAGTCCGTGAATACTGATTCAGGACAGTGGCTGTGCATGTTCTCATATTCAATCAGCTGATTTGTATCAACTTCTGACTTCAAACAATATAGGAAATATCGGAAAAATTTACGAATATATTCGCAAAATAACGATCAAGTTTCGTACTAAAAAATTATCTATCAGTGACCAACATTGCATATTTGTACACAAACAGGACTGTAATGCGAACAACTTGAATGATCCCAAGGCAAGTAAATGTGATAGCACCAAACTAGCTCTCTTCACGCTGTGCGAGCAAGTATACTATATAAATGAGTATGAGACAACATGTTTAGAATGTTATAGAATTAGAATTACAGAGAATACAGAGAATACATGTACATTACACGTGTATAGACTTTAGAAATTAGATGCTACGCTCATTCATTTACCTCGAATATATTGGCTTGCCAGCTTCGCTCAAAATAAAAACATGCTTCCTTTTCGACTGCCATTCTTCATTGTTTATGATGTCCTCTTGTTCCTCTTCTACTAATCGTAACTTTTCGATGGAGCGTGACATTGCATCAGATGGGTCTTCACTTGCCGACTGGAAATCGTCATCATGATTCTCTGTATTCTGTAGCAGGTTTGCAATGAAATGTGCTACTAGCAACGATACGAATGCATGACAGCGGAATTATGGGATGTCGCAAGTTGGCTTCGGCTTTGAAGGTATCATGTCGGATCCAACATTAGTTAGATGCCTGGGCAAAAGCTTGGATTTTACGTGGTTATCCCGACCCGCCAGGGACTCACACTGTAAGTGTAATTCACAGCCAACAGTGCCGCACAAAGGGTTGTTGTCGTATCAGGTACTACATATATGTACCCGAGGTAGTTTTAGGTTGTTTAGTATTATGTTTATATTTTTATATGAGGTATGTTTAGGGTTAGGGTTAGGGTTAGGGTTAGTGTTAGGGTTAGGGTACACTTCTGTAGTACAAGTCTGGTACACTTTGTGTATACATATATGTACCTCGGGTACATATATACCTGATACGACAACGACCCCTTCAGCAACAGTGTTGAGAGCCAGGTTTTTACACCTTCAGAAAATTCACTGATCAGATCACGGTTTGGACTCACTACCTTCAGGCTTCACAGTAAACCGTAGACATTGCTAACCTCTGGACCAATCAGCCCAATGTACAGTGAGTGTACTCTCTCTCTCTAAAGAAATGAATTCATTATTATAAATAATAATTCGCAATGATTTGTTTATTAATTTGGTAATCAAAAGAATTTCACGAATAATGTAAGACCTACATTTTCCTCTATTACAAAACATGCATCTTGTTCCAGGTCTGTATCTTCCGTGGCCTCCTCTCCGTCGATCGGCTGCGAGCCTTCGCGCGAGAGCGAATGGCCAAGTTCTGAAATGGAACCGCTGTGATGTTTGACTCTATGAAACTGTTCGCATTGCTCGTTGAAGCATTCGCAAATATCGGCGAACGAATTCGTCGCCAGCAATACGCTGTCCTTGCTTATTCCTGGGGCGAGGCGAGAGATGTCATCATTTTCTGGGGGTTGTTTTGAATGAGAACAGCTAGAAATTGATGAACTACTGGAGGCTGCCATTTTGGCTCGTTACCATTTATTAAAACACGAACTTGATTGGTTAGGAATCTTTTATCAACATTATAGTAGAGACGCCATTATTGGCTTGGCTACAATATTGTAGCAGGTGGCGCTTGTGTGGCTAGGGGCGAATCACGAATCATCTGAAGCAGAAATTCCGCATGAAATTGGTTGTTTTGGTGTTATTTTAATCGATTAAAGTTTATTCGCATATGTTATGAGTGATAATCATGGTATAGACTTTGGGGAAAAGCCTCCCGTGACTGATTTCCTTAGCCGTAATAGGTCTCAGTGGCTGAGCTTTACTGTACTGGCCAACATCACGGACTCTGTGTTTTCGTGGACTGACGACTTCCAGACGAAAATCTTGTTCACGTTTCTGCTCATTCTCAGTGTGAACGTAACTTTAATCTATGCCGCATGGATGAAATATGGCGAGAGTATAACTGACATGTATCTAAAACGAGGTAAGCTAGAAAAACCGACTAGAAGTTATTATTTAACCTACTTCGCAGAGCGGTGGTGACTAAGCGTCACATGACATGTGGCAGTCTGCCATTCTACAGACTACAAAGTACAGTACGTACATGGATTTAACCTCGTTCGATAGTAACCTAATAAAGATTGGTCTTCAAAGTTCAAGGACTTATATCGAAGACAAAAAAACAAAAGTTGATCGAAGAGACATATCAATACTGCAGTTGGAAAAGCTTAAATTTTGCAATTAATCAAAGAGAAAGGAAGAGAATTCCAATAATAGGCAATATGGAATGACAGAAACGTCCAACCAAATTTTTCTGTCTTCATATTTCAGCACCAAAGCACGACGACGAAGAAGAGTTAGATTTGGTTCATAATCTTCCGGATTCCCTTCCCAGAGAGATGAGCTATCGGCAGTGAGTCTGACAAAGTATGAGGGCGCGAAATTAGCACCGGCCCACCAGCATATGCCGCCAAATTATTTGGAAGGTCATGCAGTAACATTGGCAAAACACTGGCCCTCTGAGCCGGTGGTTTCAGGCGTGTTAGCGAGTACCTATATTTTTATTTATAGAATTATAGAGCAAATAGCCTGCAATAGTGTTTTATCAGAAGGATATCACGTCATTATTTATCAACATTTTACAAATTTGAAATAGAGAATGCAAGCGTGAAACATGACATTGACAAAATCACTTCGGACATCATTAACGATCTGCATTATAGGCTGTTCAACAGCTACTATGCGATGCTGCGCACTGCAACATTTTTCGGACAAGCAAGAGTCGGTGAAACAGTCTTATCGTTATTTTTGAAAAAAAAGAGGGCTGGTAAATTATGGTTGAGGGCTGGTAAAAAAAACTGCTGTTACCAGCCCTCTGGGCCGGTGCAAAAAAATCTGGATTTTATGCCCTGGTAACTATTAGTGAGGCAATGTATGTAGGCAATGTGTGCATGTGGTTTATTCTGGTGACTTACCTGCTTTATCTACATGTCGTTTCTAGAGCGTAAATATCCACGGACCGATTTTTTGACAATTGACAACGACAATGGCTGCAATTAGAAAGTTTTTCAAGGGAAAGACGATGGACATCAAGTTCAAGAAAGCTGGAGAGGGACACAAGCTGACCGATGTACCACCTCCACCGAAGCAGAGTTCCGCACAGAAAGGTGCTGACAATACTAATGTGATTGTTCCTCTGTATTTCCAAGAATGCAATTTATCATAGATTTAGCAGGGTGCGAAATTAGCGCGAGTCCGGAGTCAAATATTCCCTGATTTACTGTTGGACTCCCTGATTTAACATATGTAGGAGTCCGTATGACTCCCTGAAAATACTGCTATACTAACTAGTTCGTTCCAGAGCACGGCCTCGCCGTATTTTTTCAGCAAATGTCCAAAGAAAATTTGGCAGAGGTGCAACCGCATGAATCTTCAAAATAAACACATGTGTTAAATTGTTAATATCTTTAGTTTTGAACTCCAGACTCTGGACTCCTTCATTTTGCTGCAGACTCCTTCTTTTTGAGGGTATCATTTCTGCATCACTACATATGGTTACCTACTTAGCAATAAGTGTAGGAGCTTATCTATCCAGGTGCAGGGCCTTCAAGGCAGTGCTCACAGGAGGCAACTGCTGCCAAGAAGGCAGCTGCAGATGCAGCCCTAGCAAGACTGCAGGCCCCTGCACCGGGATTTGCGAAAGGCGGGTCGACAGCGATACAGATACGCGTTCGGAAGGAGCTGGAAGCTGAGCGAAAACTAGCAAAGGTACGAGAACAGAACTCGGTACTCCCTTCATCAGACCATCATCAATTGTAGCAATTGATAGGTGTTGGGGATGAATAGGAGATAATACGGTGTGGGAAATAGGTTTAGTAGGAGATATAACTTGGTACTAAGTATGACTTGGTAGGAGTATAGGGAGTATTGGTAGTACTACTACTAGTAAAGGGATAATTTCATAGAATGTAGGGTTTCGTATAAATTAGAGAGTAGAATGCAAGACTTTGTACGGCTAGTAAATTATGGTGAGGGCTAGTAAAAAAAAAAACTGCTGTTACCGAAAAAATCTGAATTTCATGTCCTGGATGCTAACATTCACCGAAAAAATCTGAATTTCATGTCCTGGATGCTAACATTCCTGTAGGTAATCGTGATGTAACATTGCTGTTCTCGCAGGCGGAGGCAGAGAAGGCAGCGATGGCCGCGGGGAAGGCCGCGCCGCGGACTGCCGACCTCGACGGCCCGCCGATGCTCTCCGTCAGCGGCGTCTACTACCGCTGCCCCCTGGTGGGGCCCGAGGTTGGGCCTCGCGAGGCGATCGAGGCGCGCATCCGCGAGTTCCTGTACGCGCAGGCGGAGGAGGAGCCGACGATCGGCCACGCACTCATCCTGCTGACGTTGAACCGCCAGCGCGCGCGCGTTGCCGTGGAGACGATCTGCCGTTACCTCGACAACATCATCGCCGAGCCCGGCAACGAACGCTACCGCAAGGTGCGCGTCGGCAACCGCGCGTTCTGCGAGCGCGTCGCCGGGCTAGAGGGCGCTGCTGCGTACCTGCGCGCCGTCGGCTTCGACGAGCAGACGCTGCCGTTCGAGGACGGCGAGGCGGACTTCCTCGTGATGTCAGGGGAGGTCGCAGCGGACACGGGTCGGCTCGTTGAGGCGCGCGAGGCCCTGCTGGCTGCAGAACCCATCCTACCTGAGCTCGATCGTGGCCTGCAGGTAAAGCAGAGAGAGAGGGAGAGAGAGAGAGAGAGAGAGAGAGATACAGAGATAGAGAGAGACAGAGAGAGAGAGACAGACAGAGAGAGACAGAGAGACAGACAGAGAGAGAGATAGAGTGAGAGAGAGAGAGAGAGTAAAGCCTAGCACAGACCTGCGATTTGTGGTTGCTCGTCGCTGCAACCTGCAACCGCAAGCGATCGGTCGATGTGTCACCGCGTGTGCGCACGCATGCGATTTCGAAGCAATTCTAGAGAAATTTGGGAGCGACGAGTAGCTCAAAATCAAACAAGTTTGATTTTTTGCAACTCGTCGCAAGCGACCAGAATCGCTACGGGTTGCAGTTGCACGTTCCCGCAGACGTAGCGATTGCACAGCGATTTTTACGGCGATTCTGGAATCGCTGTCAAGTTGCACGAAAAAATCGCAGGTGTGCGCTAGGCTTAAGACACGCGCAAGGTCGCGTACGGCGATGTAGCAACGCGGCAGACACGTGTGGCTGTCACAGGGTTACGGCGTCGTGTCTAGATGTAAGCAGAATCGCGTTTCAAGCCTAGGCCTGTCATCAGAAACGTCAGAAATAGCCGTGGCTGTCATGAGTCTGTGATGAAATTCAATTATTAATGATGTTTCCGATGACACATCATCATCACCCACACGCCCCAAGATTCACACGCGGCAGTGGTTCTTAAGCTGTTAACGGTTGTGATTTAAATTCAGTGATCTGATTCGCTACGTAAAAGGACGACTGAGGCGTGTTCAGGAGACCGAACGCTCGCTCGGCAGCCTCGCCTTCTGAACGCACTGGCGCGAGCGAGCGCGAGCTAGCGTTTGCAGCGCAAGTTTGAAAAGCTGTTCGCTCAGTGCGGCGAGTTGTTTACAAGATGGCGACCGAAAATCTGGCGCGAATGCGAATCTACCATTTCTTGACGTCAATTTGCAATCTATTTTCAAACTTTATTTCACTTTTCATTCATTCATTTATTCTAAATTCAATTTGTATCAATTTTCGTCTGCTAATGTCGTTTTAACAGTATACTGTTGTTCTTCGCGATTAAAATCTGCTGAGTAACCCTCCATGGGGCCGCCATCTTTGATCGGCGAGCGCACAAGCGAGCGCACAGCGGCGCCTCGTGTGTCGTCAGGAGGCGCTGCGTTTCGTTCATCGAGCGCTCGCTCTCCTGAACACTGCCCTCAGTATTGTTTTCTGCACTTTACTGTTCTGCACTTTACTGTACTGCACTACGCTACACTGCAAATGTACTGGCACTGTGCTTAATACCATGCACTGCACTGCACTGCACTGTAATGTAAGCTGTGACTGTAGCTGTACTGTAATACCCTGTAATGTAACTGCATCTGTACTGTTGCTGCACTGGTATTTAATGTCCTGTACTGTATCTGTTAGCTGGTACTGTAGCTTGTAACTGACTGTACTGTACTGTACTTACCGTACTGTACTGCTACTGTACTGTACCTGTACTGACTGTACTGTACTGTGCTGTAACTGTAATACCTGTATGTAACCTGTAAACTGGACTGTACTCTAATGTACTGTTATTAGGTGTTCTCTCCCTCGAGCAACGTGACAAAGTTTGACCTTCCCGACGAGTTCTTCAACCTGACGGTGGAGGAGGTGAAGCGAGAAGCCAAGCAGAGGAGTGATGACATGGAGAAGCAGCTGCAGCTTCGCACAAAGGCCATGCGCGAGCGGGAGGAGCAGAAGGAGCTGAGGAAGTGAGTGGGAGGCAGGGATTACAGGCGGAAATATGAATATAGGAGCTGAGAAGTGAGTGGGAGGCAGGGGGGGGGGTGATGTTCATGTTGGGGCCATAATAAAAATATTGTTTGTTGCCCTCCGTTCGCCGTCCCGCAAAAGGGCCAAGCTCAAAATTGTTCATTGATTTTTCCATTTTTAGCCTCATCTGACATAGTCAGATGCAGCTTGTAGAATCGCATGATTGTCCGTGTCCGTACCGTCGCCGTCTGGCCGCGTCTCCGTCCGTGCTCCGTACGTCCGTCCCGTCCGTCTGTCCAACAGTTGGGCACAAATCTTAACCGTCGACGTACGGTCACGATATTTGGGCACATTGGGGGGATCGTCACACGAGTTGGGATGTCGAAAGCTGGGGTTCAAAGGTCAAGAGGTCAAGAGTGTAAAAAGAAGGGGGAACATTCACTCCTTACTTAAGGTATAGGGAGGAATGCAGAATTGCGGCACAAATCTAAACAGGCTCGACCTAGGCTCGTGATAGTTGGTGTATAGCATCATGGTAGGAAAGCCATCACTGTGCCGAAATTGGAGGTCACAGGTCAAAGGTCAATGGGCACAGGGCAGATTTTTAGACATTTTCTGAGGACATGGTCTGACGGAGCGATTGAAAAACTTTTTTGTTTGTAGCGGTGACCTAGCATTTTTATGGCATTATTGAAAGGACCATGAAATCTACTTTCTGCTGACGTGCGAAGAGTAAGTGTCAGATAACCTTTTTGACCCTCAAGAGGAGGGTTAAACATGGATTTGTTGACTGTTCTGTTAGAAAGAATTTGACTGCCGGGTTTTGCTAGTAGAATCTATACATGCCTGGATGTATGAGGCTACAATGTCACAGTGAAATTTCAAAAGCTAATTTGGTTAAAGAAGGTTTATGCTCCTTAATCGTATATTTCTATGGCATTCTGTACTGTCAGTATGTTACATGTACCGTATGCCACTGCCAGTGCTACTGCCAGTGCATGTGTTTGCTGTACTGTGTAGTTTTGCCTGCATAATTGTTACAGGTGGCAGCTTCTATTGCAGCCTGTAGGCTTGCGTAGGTAAATGGATGAGTGCTTACGCTATTCTGTCTTGCAAATAGTTGTTGCTAACTACGTACGATGGGAGCTTCCATCTTAATCTGAAGACACTTAAACGTACGCGCCATCTCGTGGCAACTTTCATAACGATCCCAACAAACATTCCTTTGAGAAGGTTCCTGATACCATCCCTGTGCATTCCATGTTTCGGCGTATATGTGAACACATTTGGGACTAAATAGGGTTTCACTCGATCCACCATCCACCACAGAGTCACCGCAGTAGAGTAGATGAGCGCTGTCGCTCCGCGGCACTTGTTTTCTTACAAATTGTACCACTGTATTATATAAATTTGTAGGCAATACATTATATCAAGTAGCATGTTAGAAGTGTATTACCATTCTTGCTTATGTGTATTGCTTCGAGTATAACTTCAAGCTGCTGCGAGTGAGACTGCCGCGACGGCATCATTCTGGCAGGGCACGTTCAGGTGCACCGAGCGAGCGGCGGCGCAGTCTACGGCTTCGTACGAGATAACCTCCTCAACGACTGGCAGCCATTTTGTCTGACGGCGAAGCGCGGATGCGCGCTGGCGGAGGAGGATGAGGCAACGCTCGCCGAGCTTGGACTCGCGCCGGCGGCCGTGCTCTCGTTCGCGTGGGACCAGGAGGTAGGCTTACATTGCGTGTCGCTATATGTGACCGGTTATAGCCAAATGAGTCACCTTGGAGCAGTTTTTCAATTTCCAGATAACCATGTGATGATGTTCTGCTGTCATTTATCTTCATATTGGTCCAAAAATTTTGAGAATCGGATAAAAATAAAAAAGTTATGGATATTTAAAGTTATGGAGTTGTGCCAGAACCATGCTCGTATAGGCATACATTGCGTGTCCTCTATGCAGTAGCGATTCGATTTTTAGATTATAGATTTTAAGATTATATATATTCTCTTCCAAGTCCTGCCACCTTTATCGTCACTAGATGGCAGCACGGGTTATTGTCGACCCATCTGATCCTCGCGATCTCTCGCAGGGTCCTGCCACTTTATCGTCACTAGATGGCAGCACGAGGTTATTGTCGACCGATCTAATCCCACGTTCTCTTCCCAGGTCCTGCAGGAGTCATGCACAACCAGGTGGACAAGTCAAGGTCGAACACTTGAACGCCCGAACTACTGAGTCTGATGCAGATGCTGTAGGCTGTCGCACAGCTAGCGACACCTAGTGGCACCGTCAAGCAACCGACCTAACGGTGGCGCCACCTGCTGCCATATCTTCCGCGCGTGGTAAGGCGTTTGGGGTCAGCGCTGCATCTCTCTCGTCATCGTCGTCGACGACGAGATTGGCAGCGATTCGTTCACGAGGCGTCGGACGGGAGGCACATGTTTTTCGACCGCGGACGAGAAAAAGGCCTAATTAGTAGATCGTTAGCCGCGGCGCTGCTTCCATGGGCGATCCGCCACGCGTTCGTTCTGCGAATTCGGCGCGCAGATTAATTCGCGGATTTGCAACCCCTAGATGTCGCGCCTCTCGCATGTTTTTTTTTTCTCGACGACAGCGAGACAGACGTTCACCATGTTTTGAGGTGTCGGAGCGCGATCAGAGTCTCGTTAATGACGGCGACTCCGCAAAACTAGTGGCGCGCTCTGTCTTTGAAATTGGTTCATTTGCGCTCTGATGCCGCGGCTTGAAACTGGTCGTTGCCGTGACGACCTGTCCGCACTGTCTTGTCTCTCTAGAGGGGCAGGCGTTTGTTTTGCGGGAGCGCACAGTGTTGCCTGGGGCTACCAGCAGGTGGCTGCACAGTCGTGTTCGCTGGCGAGGGGGAAACAATGGTGGTCCTTGTTGCCAGCGACTAAGACTGGGAAGTTCGCTAAATGCCAATATTTTGCAGAGCTTTTGTGAAGCTTCTAACTGGAATGAAAGAAGGTGTGCGACGTGCCAGCGTCTTCTCATACTACTGTTGCATATTCCTCAACACTAATCTCTCCATGTAATGTGAAAATGCTTATATACATAGTGTTTATATATATATATATCATATATATATAATATATATATATATTAATTTATAATATATATATATATATATGTATGTGAGTGTGAACACACAATATATATTCATGATGTGTTCTTCGGAGCGGCGTTTTAACGTATATATCTTATATATATATATAACGTATTCACTTCTCTCCTTGTCAATTCATGATTGTGTGAGCGAGTGTGCGCCCGTGCTTGTGATGTGTTATTCAGCAAATAGCATTAAAATTCAGGACTTTTGGTTTATCAAATTATCGTTTTTATTTTATTCGTTGATTAACGCGGTGGTCTGGTTGGTGGCTTGTCCATGTAGGTGCAGCAAACGACTGCGCATACATTAATTTTAAATTTATGTCAAACTTTTATTCAAAAGTTATGATAATCGCGTAATGCGGCTGCGGCGCCGTATATATATGCTGAGCATGTATGCTCAGCCACAGTCACGGAGACGTGTTTCTATCTAGCATCGCTCTAGTGCAGTGGTTCTTAACCTTTTTTTGAGCCATGGACCCCTTTGAGAATCTGGTGAAAGCTACGGACCCCTCCCCAGAAAAATGCACATAAGCACATATACACGAAATTTTGCATGCACCTGGTTCACGGCCTTCCTTAAGCCCATCCACGGAAGCACCCCAAAGGAGTCCATGGACCACAGGTTAAGAACCCCTTCTCTAGTGGCTAACTCCGAAACGGGAATATCCGCATCACCCAAATTCACATTACCCTCCCGACATGCGCCCGCGCTGTATATATAGAGATGTAGATGTAGATAGTATGTTTGCATATAGACAAGAGGCTTTAGAACATTTCCTCGCTGCGATTTCATCGGAAGAGCGTTTACACGTCAAAATAACATGAAGCTTGTTGTAAGATATATACATGATGATGCCGTATGCTAGTATGCATCACAGCTCGACTGGAATAGGCGCCATTTTGGAATTGATTAATTTCGAAATTTTAATAACTCGAATGGAAATCTTCGCTGCTGTGAGCGTAATCCTCAGCTACACGTCATACACTTCATATATCACGCGCACAGTGTGCGGAGCGAAATCTTCATGAATTCATCCGCCTGTGATTTTCCTTCTTATTAATCTGTACAGATATGTACGATGCGCGCGTGTTTAACAGCCGTGTCTACCGGCTTTTATCGTCGATAAAATACAGTGACCGTACTAATATTAAAATTGATTAAAAGCATTTTGACATTTTTATGCAGATTATATCGATATTAAACAGGAGATGTGAGAGAAGTTTTGCGCAAATTTCTTGAGGCTGTGATGGAATGCTGGTTGTAGATAAATCAGGAGTGCAGATTCCTTTATGCGTCCCCCATTAAAACAGCGTTGCAAAAATGTATAAATATTTAAAAATTTTCAAACAAAGAGAAGAGGAGAGAGAAAATGAGCGAGCGAATGTGTGTGAAAAGGGTCAGAAACATGAGAGATGGACAGATAGAATCGCTCTAGTAGAGACCGTAGAAGTCTTCTTCGTCTTCTTCTTCTTCTGCTCGGGTCACTACACTACACTCGACCTAGCCACTGCAGCACACAGAACCTGGCACGGAGGTTGAAAGCCTCAAGGTCTCCAGGTCTACAGGGCTCTGGTAATAGTAATGGTATAAGGGGGCATTCCATGAGATGTCCGGGAAGCGAAATTTTTTTCCTACTTGAGTTCCGGACCCACCATAGATTGTAATAAATGGTTCTTATATATATGGTTGGATTATAGTTAGTGTTAGGGTTCGGGTACGTGTTAGGGTTAGGGTTAGGGTTAGGGTTAGGTTTAGGGGTATTCAATTTACATTGTTGCTTCGAGGAAGTCGAGTGAATGGAGTGCGCTGATTGGCTGTGGTCCGGAACTCAAGTGGGAAAAAAATTTTGCGTCCGGGAAAGGGCGG